CTCCTGGTGATTGGTCAAAGGACACCTTGACGGCTTTCATGCCCGAGGTGTGACTAGAACTCCCGATCTCCTGGTGATTGGCCAAAGGAACCCAGTTGGATTCATGCCCAAGGAGTGACTAGAACTCCCAATCTCCTGGTGATTGGTCAAAGGACACCTAGCCAGCCAATTTCCATGCTTATTTTGCCTCTTCTCTCCTATATTTAACCCATTTCATGGAGTCATGCTATAACCTCTCTCTTTCTGCCCCTCTTTGCCCTTTCTCAAGCTCATCCTTCCAAAGAATCTTTCTATTTCGCTTCAGCATCCAGGATTTAACTTTGGGAACTTTCCTTCACGTCATCAATTTGCGTTATCCCTGGATCTCGCGGGGGGGGGGGGGGAGGGGAGAAGGAAAAAGGAACCACAGCTTTCAGGAGGAAATCCTCAACCCAGACTTGAAAACGCCGAACAAGGAAACCAGCAGAGAGTAGAAAATGGGAAGCTGCACAATGATGGGTCTCTGCAGGGGTGTGAACGCTGACCCTGTTTTCAGACACAAATGTTTAAAATCTTCCCAACAGTCTGCAACGGAATTCTGGCAGCACCAAGCTGCGTTGTCAAACGAGAAGCAGATATAAAGAGGTAGAGAGAATCCGGAATTATGCCATGCTCTGTTTCCTTAACCAACAAAAGACGTTGCTTTTTTTACCCTTCCAATGTTTCACGACGTAAAACCAGTGAACCAGAAGAAAAATAATACGATCTCTGATACCTGCCTATTTACAATAACTGAATAAAAATGGACCTAATCCAAAGTATCTTCCAGGCTGTCTATTCTCCTTGTGGGTTTTTGTGCTCTTCAAGACGCTTGGGTTCAACTGTTCGGACCCAAACCTGTTTCCAAGAGAGCAAACATAAGACAAAGGCACAACCTTTTAATGTTTCATCTATGAATCCTGTTTCTTCACAGATAAAAGGCTGCTTCCAACTAATTAGCTCCGACAAGAAAGAGCCTTGCCAAGTTTTGGAAAACCAACAGATAAGAAATAATTTACAACTCAAGAGTCTTCAAATATCAACTGAAATGTCCATGAGGCTGAGTTTCAAAACATCTTTGCTTTCTGCAAAGAACATTCGCTTCACAGCTGGCTTTTATCTTCTTGAAGGAGGGGCCACTACCTTTCAGTCTTACTCCCGAGTTGCCCGTGCTGTTGTAGCTGCTCTTTCCTGCGAGCAATCCTGCGTACATGCGCACTTGGTACAGGCTCCTCGGGAACCTCCTCATCGCTGTTGCCAGCCCCCACAATCTCTGAAGGAAGACCTAACGGTCCTGGCCCCTCATCTGAGTCCTCGCTCTCCTCAGCCGTCCGCATCTGCTGCCGGCTAACCACAACATCAATTTACTATCTGAAATCACTGCAGCAGCCATGCAGAAACTCCAGGAACTGAGAATGCTAGCTTGTCTACGTACCGGGGTGATGGAAACAAGTTTTAGCAGGGATTTGGAGCCATCTTATCCCCAAGGTGTTGAATACAATACTCAACAGAACTGTTAAACAGAAGTCGAACAGTGAGTGTCCTGTTCCTAGATAAATATTTCTGCCATTAATGTCTTGTTCCTCCTCTATTAGAGAAACAGCCATCAAGGGTTAAACGATGGGCAAAACTGCTCATGAGAAAGAAGCCAAAAACAAGGTGACTTTTTTTTTTAAAAAAAGAGGAATCTCATCTGTTGCTTTCTTGAACTTCCCAAATCTTGAGACCTGAAGCCAAACAAGCTAAGATCTACAGAAACTAGGGAAATGTCCAGATGTGAGGACTTCCAGCTCCACAGCTTCTCAGCAATGGCTTTGCTGGCTGGGGAATTCTGGGAGTTGAAGTTTCCCACATCTGAAAGTTGTCCAGGATGGGAAACGCTGCTCTACTACAAAGGACCAAGAAGGATGCATGAAGAAGACAATTTTTACCAGGAATCTTAGGCGGGGGAGTAGATAAATCATGATTTAAGATGAGGAAGCATGACTCCTGCCAATAGAAGCTTTAGAAAAAAAAGGAAGGACTGATAGGCAAATTTAAGGACATTAATGTTCTGAATAAGAATAGAGTACCAACAAAATTAGACATAAAAGTTGCAATGGTTAACTCCACAGAGAGAATTTCCATATCACATCGTACTGATGGCTTATAGCAAGAATATGCAGGCAGTGGTAATAATACCTAGAAAGGGAATCCTGAATAAAATGTGGTATGCCTAAAACCTGCATGGATGAACTAGAAACTATAGTATACAAACTATAAAGACTACAACATTTTTTTTAAAGGGAAGAACCTCTTCGGTATTATTACAAGCTACAATTTTTCAACAATCTTTGACGCTAACTACAAGCAGATGATATTTAATTTATTACTGTCAGCTGAGATGCTTTTCGGCTGAGATTATCTTTTTCTTTTCATCTTTTATTCATCTGTCATTTTTTAATACATCTGTGGATTTCAAGCTATATCTAGAGGGCAGCCTCAAATTCCATGTCAACATTAGCCACCGGAGGGAACCAAAAGGAGAATCAGGAACTCCTAGAATTAAGGAAAAATTTCCTGATGGTTAGAACAATTAATCAGGGGAACTGCTTGCCTCCAGAAATTATGAATGCTCCAACGGTGGAAGTTTTTAAGAGATTGCACTTCTTTGAAATATGGTATATAGGGTCTACTTCTCAAGCAGGGAGTTGGATTAGAAGACCTCCAACTTTGCTATTCTGTCAGAAGGGAACTGGAACAATTTCCACTCATGAGAACCTTGTCTTTTTATTCAACATTTAGTCCATTGTGGTGGCTCAGTGGCTAGGACGCTGAGCTTGTCAATCAAGAAAGTTCGGCAGTTCGAACCCCTAGCGCTGCGTAACGGAGTGAGCTCCCGTTCCTTGCCCCAGCTTCTGTCAACCTAGCAGTTTGAAAGCATGTAAAAATGCAAGTAGAAAAATAGGAACCACCTTTGGTGGGGAGATAAGAGCGTTCTGTGTGCTTTCGGGGTTTAGTCATGCCGGCCACATGACCACGGAGACGTCTTTGGACAGCGCTGGCTCTTCGGCTTTGTGATGGAGGTGAGCAGCGCCCCCTAGAGCCGGAAACGACTATGTGCCAGGGGAACCTTTACCTTTAATCCATTGTGAAAGACAGTGTTCTTGGATTTGAGGCTTACCTGCTCCAGGCTAATTCTGGGCCAGCAGGCCAACCCAACAGTGAACAATATCTGTACATGGTTTCCTATCTTTCAAGGTCTGTATGATTCCCAGGCACTGCAAAAAATCATTAAAAATGCTCTACCCTGACGCAGAAATAAACGCGGTGAGGAGATCCAGCTTTGAAAATGGAGGTGTCCTGACAGGTTAGATGCAAGAGATGGGATGACTGACAGAGGTCTATCAGAGAACTTAAGAGGTACATCATTCATTTCTTTCACCTGTAAGCACCAAGGTCACCTGGGCTTTTGTTAGCCCCAACACGGAGCTGATTTACAGCATCAGCAATATGTCTTCCGTTGCCCATTATTATTTATGATAGGCAAGGAATGGATTTCTCATTTGCGGCCCGCTTACTTAAAATCTTTAAATCATAGCCAGCTTGATGGGGCACTGCCCTGTGGCGTCTTTTATCTGAAGAGCTGCCAGAGAAATTCTCCCCTGGGGACTAACGGATTCAGCAGGGTAGACACAGATACACAAGTGCCTCCCCTAGGCATATTCCAGTGCTCCCAATTTCAGCTTTTCCGAAATGAAATGACACACACCTACATGCGCGCTCCCATCCTTGGCCCCGAAATGTCAATTTGTACACATCGCCTCCCCACCAATCCCTCCAAGTCATCTTTGATCTTCCTCCAAACTCGATTTGCATCATTTGCTCGGCTTAATCTAACGGGGATGTCTATTTTCCCGCCGGCATTCTTTCTCAGAAGTAGTAACCCAGCTCACTAAGCAAGCTATGAAAGAAAGAAAGAGAGAGAGAGAGAGAGAGAGGGAGAGGGAGAGAGAGAGGGGGGGAGGGGGGGGGGGAGGGAGAGGGGGGGAGGGAGGAAGGGAGAGAGAAAGGAAGGAAGAAAGGAAGGAAAGATATCTGCACACTGCACACCAGAACAGCTAGACACAAGAACAGTTTTTTCCCGAAAGCCATCACTCTGCTAAACAAACAATTCCCTCAACACTGTCAAACTGTTTACTAAGTCTGCACTACTGTTACTGTTAATCTTCTCATCACTCCTTATCACCCATCCCCTCCCACTTGTGACTGTATGACTATAACTTTGTCGCTTGCATCCTTACGATTTATCGTGACTGTTTCCTAGTTTGACTTGATTGTTTATTGTACCCTACGACTATTATTAAGTGTTGGACCTGATGATTCTTGACTCTTGACAAATGTATGTTTTCTTTTATGTACACTGAGAGCATTTGCACCAAGACAAATTCCTTGTGTGTCCAATCACACTTGGCCAATAAAAGAATTCTATTCTATTCTACTATTCTATTCTATTTTTTTTTCTATTCTACATTCCAATATTTATTCTATTCTATTCTATTCTGTTCTGTTCTATTCTATTCTATTCTATTCCAAACCATTCCATTCTATATATCTATATCTACAGTATATCTATCTATCCATCCATCCATCCATCCATCCATCCATCTACCTACCTACATACATACATACATACATACACACAAACACACACATACCCCACATCCTTAAAATATACTATAAATCAACAATGTTCACGAGGGTTTAGTTTTGGGGTGATTTTTTTTTTTACACATTAATGAATATTGCCCAGTTGTGTACATAAAACGTAGCCAAACTAAACAGAACGGACATGGTGCGTACATTTGTCTGAACTTCCATTCTGGGGAAAAATATTTGTCTGCTTTAACCCATTGCAGGATAAGCGTTCAATCTGCAACTCTGAAAGGGCCTCTTCCAAATCAAATCCTAAACACTATACAGAGTTCACTTACTGACAGTTTGAAATTACAATGGCACTGGAAAAAAAAAATGACTTATGGCCATTTTTCAGGCTTATGACCGTTGCAGCATTCCCCACAGTCATGTGCTTTACGCTTGGGTGCTTGACAACTGACTCACCTTTATGACGGTTGCAGCATCTCTAGGTCGTGTGATCTAGGGACCTTCCAACAAGTGAAGTCCGTGGGGTTAAACCAGATTCGCTTAACAATCATATTACTAATTTTAACAACTGCAGGGGCAACAGAAGCGCGTACAATGCGGCAAAACTCACTTAACAAATATCTCACTTGGCAACGGAAATTTGGGGCTCAACTGTAATCAAGAACTACCTATAATCTTTTTTCCAGAAGTCACTATTTCCAAGGGCCAAACATGACCTTAATTTTTTAATTCAGCTTAACTCAATATACCTTCGAACAACCCTTTGCTCCAATGACCTAAAGCTTTAATTGTTATCCAGCTTTAACAGAGGAAGGAAGCTAAGTAGGGCCATGGCTTTAGAAGGACATTTATCCTAAGAAGAGGATACACCCAGCAAGCAGAAACACAAATAGGCCGGAAGGTGACCTCAGGAGTGTAGAAATAATTTAAAAAGTGCTTTCTCACACTTGCAAGACTTAAGCCATCCTGATTCACATCCAGAGACATGCACGCAGGTATCACTCGAAGAGAAAGGAACTAGGAGGGGAAAAAATTGCACCGATTTGGGTCATAACAGGGAAGCAGATAGCCAACTGCATTCCACTGATCTGTGAGGATTCCAACTCCCATCAGTCCTAGCCAGCGGATTAACAGCAAGGGATGAGTGTAGTTGTGATCCAAAAATATTAAGAGAATGGTGGCTGGTTTTCTGTGGTTTGAATCTATTTTTTGCAGCTATCTATTATTGGTAAATATGAAGTTATAAAGAATATACAGTTTTGTATCAAAAGTGGTTTTTATTTTTGGAAAAGCATGTAGATCATTGTTGGGTTTTTTTTTTTGACGAGGAAGAAAACAACATTTTGCCTCCTATCCTGGGAGCTTCATCAGTTGCATTGGATGGTGCGGGAGATGGAAGGGCCGGCCATCACCTGAATCAGTTGGACTGACTTTTCAAAAATAAAAACCACTTTTGATACAACTATGATTTGAATGTCCCTTTTTCTAGAGGCTACTGAACTTTCCGTTTTTTTTTTTCTTTTGAACAGGTTTCGCTTCTCATCCAAGAAGCTTCTTTAGCTCTGACTGGATGGTGGGGAATGGCCAGTCAGAGCTGAAGAAGCTTCTTGGATGAGAAGTGAAAACTCTTCAAAGAAAAACCAAAGTCCAGTGGCCTCCAGAAAAAGCACCTTTGGGACAACCATGACCTGGATGGCTGAGAATCTTCATAAAGTTTTATAGTTTCTGAATCCTCCCAAAAGAATGCATTTCCCGCAACTAACGGATCTGATGAACTACTGGACCTTTGATGGGAATATATTTGCGTGTGTCTGTCAAAAATTGAGGCTGGAAAATAGACATTCTTTTCATGCGAATAAATTGTTTGTGGTCACAACAGACCAAACTCTTCTGTGTTTCTTGTACTTTTTTTAATAGAAAACTCACAGGAAACATACATTCCAACATGGAAGTCTCAACATGAAAAAAGTTCACTAGGGGTGAAACTAATTTGACACCAAATTAAGAGTGACTCTACAAGGAAGATGGCTCTTGACTTGCACTTCATGACGGATGACCTGTTTCTGTCTCCCTCTATTTGGCCACAGAGAAGGAAGTAATTAAAACACAATTTAAAATATATACATCTGCTTTCAGCTCCACGAAAAAATTATATTAGATCTTATAGAGCTTGAAAAATCATCACAGAGGCAGCTTTAAAATTAATCTTTTGACAACTTGCAAGCAAAGGAATAGGCTTAAATCACTTTTGCCTTCGTCAAAGCAAATCAATTTTTATTAGAGCCATAGATCGCCTTAAGGGGGCAAGATACGGCCCTTGAAAGGAAGCCCATATAAAGGAGCTGTGAATTTAAATGAGTTATAAAAAATCTAGAAGGTATAAAAGATGCACAAATTGAATACATGGGACAAAAGATTTAAACAAGTGAGAAAGAAGGAGCGTAAAAAGTTAGCAAGCAGAAAACTATTTGTAGTAAAGTTTCAGAGAGCCCTAATACCATAAACCAGTTACACATGGAAATCTAGTTTATACTATTGAGCCCCAGGTCTAAGTGAGAAGCCATTCTCTGATGAATTTAGGAGTGCTGTTACAGAGAATCTGGCAATATTATACGTTGCAGCAGAAGTGGCATCTGAAATCAACAAGACGGTGTAAAATTACCTGGTGTGCCTTGTGTATTTATGCAGTTATGGTAAGATGAGACTGGTATGAATGTTGCTACAGGACAAACATCAGAGAAGAACATGTGCTTAGATTCACCAACGTCTTTCCTTTACCAGCAGAAAACTACCATGGGGTTAATTCCCAGAAGATTGAAGCTTTCTTTCATTTGCAAACAATACGAGATTTATTTTCTACATTCTCGGCAAATTGCATGAAATTACTTATAAAACAACACCAGATTTATCTAAGTAAGCAGCTGATGAGTCGGGCAGTGCTGCCCATCCAATAAAAGGATATGAAGAAATGGGGGAAATGTACATAGCAACCTTAGCCAGGCATTGTTCAACCAGTCCGACTTACCTCACATTGTTGTTGTGGGAACAATAGGTGACAAGCTCATGCTAGGTTTGCTGCCTTGAGTTATGTATAAAAATGAAAGGCAGTTTTGGTGATGATGCTAGCTTAGAAACCAGGAGGGTGTGAGTTCTAGTTTTGCCTCAGGCATGAAAGCTGGCTGGGGGACTTTGGGCCAATCACTCTCTCTCAGCCTAACCTTCCTCACAGGGTTGTTGTGTGGGAAAAATAGGAGGAAGGAGGAGTATTAAGAATGTTTTCTACCTTGCGTTACTTATACAGGCATACAGGAAGGATAAATATCTAATTAATAAAGACAGGATCCAAATCTATTATTATTACTATTACTATATTATTATACTTGTATTCATTAAACATGAAACTCAATCAACTGAACATTTAAAAATGTATCACAAATATCATTGACTAGTCCTAATGGTTGATAAGGTTTGCTGTCAGCATCCTAGGTATCAACCAAGTATCTTCTTAAAATGTATGATGATGATGGTGATATTATTATTAATTTTATCTATTAAACATGAAACTCAGTCAACTGAATATTTAAAAATTTATCACAAATATGACTGGCCCTATTGGTTGATATTGGTTGCTGCCAGCATCCTAGGTATCTTCTATTATTATTTTTATTGTTGTTGCTGTTATTTATTACTATTATGACCTCTTAAAGGGGAAGACAGTGCACTAACTTGTCCAATTTCTCATTCGATGCAACCATTGCTTATTTGTGCTAAGAAATGCATCTCCTTTGCAACAGGAAACCAACAACACGTCACCTGCCATTAAGGCACTAAAGCAAAGGGAGATTGTAGGCTTTCCCAACGGATCTGTGGCTCTTTCTCTAAAACAGCAGGTGCAAGGTTGGGAGGTGTGTGTGTGTGTGCATGTGTGTGTCCACCCAAAATAACCAGATGAGATGACTCAGGATGGTTAGGAGAAGGTCCTCTCTTTCTGACATGCACCCCCTGGTATCTGGCATCCCAAAGTCCGGGCCAAGTTTGCAATGGGCACCTTCAGATGTTGCAGGGTGCAAAGGCAAGTTTGAAAGAGGCTTGCAAAGAAGGAAAAATAAACAAACTTTTTTGGGGGGTGGGGGGGGGGAGAGAAGACTGCCTTTTAAAGCATAATTGTGTGCCTTTGTGTGTGTCTGTGTGTCTGTGTGCAATGTTGTGTTCCTGCAAAATACGCAGCCAGCAAAAGATGTTGGAAATGGGGAGGGGTCCCATTTTTGCAAATGGAGAGAGGGGGTCTCCTAAGGGGGAGGGGGTGGGATAGGATGGGGAGTGGGCAGGTGGCCTCCCCACCTTGTGATCTTCCAGCCCGTGGCCAGACGGGCTGTGGATGATGGGCCTGGTGGTCGGCTGGGGGCGGCAATCGCAGCATCCATTTGGGATGGTGGGGGGAGAACACCAGCCTTAGAAGAAGGGGAAAGGCAGCCGCAGGGAGGGAAGGAAGGATGATGGGTAGGGGAACCCCTAGGATGGGCTCGGTAGTAACCTGGGGAGAGGAGGTAGGGGGTCCCTCCGAGGGGGCGTGGCCAGAGCGCGGCCTGGGGGCGGGGCATTGGAGCCACGCCCTCTTGTCTTTCCGTCTGCCTCACCTGCGGATCGCGACGGCGGCCAGCAGCAGCACGAAGAGGCCCGCCAGCAGCCGGCGACGGCGGCGCCCCGCGCAGCTCCACATGGCCGACGACCTCCGGCGAGACCCGGACCCGTCCAGCCCAGTCCCGCCGCTCCGGCTCCCACGCACGGGCGCCCCGTTAACGGGAGGAGGCGCCTCCCATTGGAGGAGGGCGGCCCAGGCGCCGAGACGCCATTGGACGGCGGCGGGGGGGGAGGCGGGCGCTCCGGCGCGCGAGACCGCACCCGGCCCCTCGCGCCCATTGGAGGGGGCTCACGTCGCTCTTTCGCCCCGCCCACGGCGCCTCACCTGTGGCCCGGGTGGAGCGCGCTGTGTAGATGGTCAGCAACCCTTTTGCGGGCAGCTGACGGTCTCCTCAGAGGGGTCGGCTCGGGGTGGCTGAAAACACTTAAAACCCCATTGCAACCCCCCGATTCATACACAAAGAACCCCCTCCCTCCCCCAAGAAAAAAAAAAAACAAGGGAGGCGAACCCTTGGGAAGCTTAACGTGTGAACGCAGCCAAGAAGCGTGTCCTGCCCTGACACGTGTTGGAGCTGCGGCTACGAATCCTGCTCTTGAAGACGTGAAAGAAAATGCAAAAGAAGGGGTGGGGGGGAATTACAAAATAAATGGCTTCCCATTTTCATTACAGGAGCGACAATTATAATGGATACAGATTATATCATATCTCCCTCATGGTTATCATAGATCTAATCCTATCAAATCCTTGCCCCCCGTTGAGCTCTGTCTGGCTAAAACACGACAAACCCCATTATAATCCCCCCCATTCACACACAACCCCCACAAAGAAAAAACCAAGGGGGGGGGGTCGAACCCATGAGAAGCTGAACGTGTGAACACAGCCAAGAAGCGTGTCCCTCCCAGACACGTGTTGGAGCTGCAAGTGGGAATCGTGCTCTTGAAGATGCCAAAGAAAACGGAAAAGAAGGGAAATTACAAAAAAGGAATGGCTTCCCATTTTCATTAAAGCCGTTAATAATTATATTTAAATAGGAAGGAAGGAAGGAAGGAAGGAAGGAAGGAAGGAATTCAAAAGCCAGCTCTCTCTTACAAGCCTCAAGAATGTGGAATAAAATCATCTCGCCACACAAACCGAAAACGAGCAGATGAGAAAGACAAGAAATCACGAGGCGTTTATTGATTCCAACATTCAGAAGGAAATAATCTGCAGTTTGCACTTCACTCTGGGCGCAATTCGTTGTAGCTTGTGCAGATTTTAATCCTGTGATTTTATATTTTCAACTGTGTGTGGCATACAAGTACGTCTTATTTCAATTGTGATGCTTCGGATGCAAACAAACGAACAAGTCCATGGTTGGCTTTTCTGTGGCCAACTAACACGATGGCAAAAGATTTTTGTTTTTGTTTTAATCAGGTTCCTACCATCTCCGTGCTAAAAATCGACTTACCGAGAGCATGGCAAGACTTCCTTTCCGTGTTAAAGACTGGGGGATAGGGGGAATAAAGAGAGAGAGAGGTTTCTGTCTCCTTTGGGAAACAATTCTCCCTTTTTCTGGAGAGAAGTATGCATTAAGAAGAAAATGAGTAGGTTTCCCAGCTAAAGCTAAATCCAGAATGGATCTGATTCTTCCCAGGAGGAGACGCTGCTGGGATGCGGGAACCCATGCTGATGCCGAGAACTCCCACATGGAGGAATTTCAACCAGTAGTGGGGAGCAGATGTTCAGCGTTGGCACTATTGTGGACAAAAGGATCTATTGAGACCAGACTGCCTTTGTCCTGACTTTCCAGCTCTACCAGTCTGTGCCGGTTGCAAAATCTGGAATTTAGGCCAAAGAGAAAAATGCATCGCTTTTCCTCTTGCCTGGCACGTATGTCCCCAAAGCACCTTGTAGCACACTGAGGCCGATGGCCATCTCCGGACACTCAGGCTTGTAACAGAGTCCTGGCTATGATCATTTTCATGATTTCATTGGTCCCTGCAGCGCACAAAGAGGGAAACAAGAAATGTGTGTGTTAGTTAACAAACTGCAGAACGGCCCGGGTGCAAAAGAGGTGTCCTGACCAAGGCTTCCGAGTAATTAAGCACACACTTAGTTAAAACAACTCTTGTTTTATTTCAACGCTGGGAATTATGTTCATTCCCAGCCAGTAATGGGTACCAAACAGTCCCTCGAGATAAGCATCCACCTTTCTCTCCTTTGAATTGCGGCCAACAACAAAAGTGCCAAATGAACTATAAAAAACAACAACCGAAGTACAAAGTCTACAGAGCTTCAAGGATTAATCCGAACAGAACGAACGTTGCTTCCTGCAAAGGTTTCTTCACCTTTGCCTGTCCTTTATACCTTATGGGAGGGGCAATCACCTCCAAGCCTTACTCCCGAGTTGCCCCTTTTGTCTCAGCTGCTCTCGCAAATCTGCGCACACAGATACTGGGAACAAGCTTTCCTTGTTCCTCTGCCTCGCTGTTGCCAGACTCCGAGGCTCAGGAGGCAGCACATAACTCCCAGATGGTCCTGGCCCCATCCCTGCATCGAATGCAGGACCCTCGTCCGAGTCCTTTCCAGACTCCCCAACTGGTCCCCGTCCTTCCCCACTGTCAAATTCCAGTCAAATTCCACTGCTGTCTGCCAGTGAACCACAACATGAGGTACCAAATGGCAGGGAACCCCAATTTTACATCCTAAGAAATGGCGCTTCAATGCTTAGAATAATCATAGAACATACAGTGTTGGAAGGGACCTTGGAAATCATCTAGTCCAACCCCCTGCTCGAGCAGGAGAGTCTATTCCAAATATCAGCCTCTAGCTAGGATCAAACTCACACAACCTCCTGATTAAGGTGGAGGCGAAAGCTCCACCTCTAGGCCACCGGAGCCGTGCCCAGGCCAGCTCTCAACAGGTGGTCCTCGACTTATGACCATAATTGAGCCTGGCAATTATGGACATGTGTTGTAAAGCGAGTCACATGACCGGACCCTGCTTTTACAATTATTTTTTTGCAATGGTGATGAAGAAAATCCGTTGTTTTAGCAAAAATGTAATAAATCGGGATCATGGGATTTCGAGATGCTGCAAATGGCTGTGACAGTTGCCCAGGGTCCAAAATGTGGTCATGTGATCACGGAGGAGGAGGGAGCAATGTTGGAACTTCAAAACCGAGTCATAAGACCCTTTTGGAGGGGCTCCGTTGTAAATTTAACAGGTTGCTGAAATGACTGCCCATAATCCAATTTAAATATATAAATTGCATTAAATGTTCACAATTTCTTCTAAACTGTCCCTCGCTTGATCTACGTAGAGAAACTGGAAATTCCTAAGTACAGAAACAGTAAATCTTTAAATGCAGTAAATTCCCAAATGCAATTATATTTTCTCTGATGTTCACAAACTCTCACATAATGGAGGAACATTATTACTACACTTAGAAATTTACTATTTTTTACTTAACTTTTTGTTTTATTCTGGGTGATGGTCTATTGGCCTGGCTTTCTTTCTCTCTGTGCGTCTGTCTCTTTCTCTCTCTGTCTCTCGCTCTCTTTCTGTCACTCTTTCTCTTTCCCTCTCTCTCTGTCTCTCCCTCCCTCTCTCTCTGTATGTGTCTCTCTCTCCCTCTCTTTATCTTTCTTTCTCTCCCTCCCTCTCTCTCTCCCTCCCTCTCTCCCTCTTTCTCTCCCCATCTCTCTCTGCCTCTCACCCAGTCTGCCCCCTCTCTCTGTGTCTCTTTATTTCTCCCTCTCTTTCTTTCTCTCCTTCTCTCTTCCTCCCCCTCCCTCCCTTTCTCTACCTCTTTTTCTCTCCCCCTCTCCTGTTTCTCTCTGCCTCTCTCTCACCCCTTTTCTCTCCCTCTTTGTTTTTCGTTCTCCTTCCCTCTCTCCCTCTCTCCCCCCTCTCTCTCCCCCTCTTTCTCTCTTCCTCTCTTTCTCTGTCTCCCACTCTCTTTCTCTCTCCCTCTCTCTCTCTGCCTCTCTCCCCCCCCTTTTCTCTCTCTCTCTAACTAGAAGCAGCAGTTTTAAAGCACGTTTTCTCAAGCCAGACAAAAGAACCACTGTGCCAAGGACCTGATCGAGAACAGAGCGCAGCCCCTGAACCATCGGTCCAATATATGACTCAGTTTGTATTTAACTGGTGTGCATCCAGGAGACGCCGAGAGCGGCCAAGAGTAGCCCAGGTTGTGTGAATCCAACCACGGCACCTGTCTCTGTGTGTGAACAGCAGGGTCCAAGCTCCTAGGAACTGCCCGGCAACCTACCTTCCAAAATCTGGTGCACCCTGATGTCTCGCACAAACTGTTGCACAGCGTAATCCTTCAGGTAGCCATAACCGCCGTGCATCTGCAGGGCTTGATTGCAGATCTACGAAGAAGAGGAGAAACCCAGTGAAAACTCAGGAATAAGAGAAAAAAAACCCTGGCTTTTCCAAGAAGAGCACACCAGGGTCCAGAAACTTAGGAGGGGAAAAAGCACGCCGGGACTGTCCGATAATGAAGCTGTGCGAATATACTGTGTCAGACCATTTGCAGCATGATTGCTATTATGAGGCAACCTGGGAGTAAAACCCAGCATGCAGAGACTTATACATTTAACAGTAGTTTCTCTACAACAGTTATATACAGAAACATAAACTTGGTAGGCAAAATAGCTTTACAAGTAAGCTTTCTTCTTAACGCTACATATGGAGAACTCTGCAATGAATACTGGACCACAAGGAGAGAGAACACACCCTCTAATGGCTGCCTCTTATATAAACACCTCTTAAAGTGATATAACCCATCCCCGGTCTTAAAGGGAAATACCCATGCTATGCTGAATCACCTTCATTTCATCAGCTTAACATCGCATCAGACTTACAGCATCTGGCAGTTATTATTGCTGCTGGTCAGCTCTTAAATCTTAATATCAAAACTACAGGAAACTCAACAATCACATCGGTAGAATTTCTACTTGCTAAGCAGGGTGGTGGCAAAGCATGTCGCACCCAATTTTATGACCCCTTTTTTGCCCATGGTCGTTAGGCAAATCACTGTGGTCATTAAGTGAATCTGGCTCCCCCCCCATTCATCTGAGACATCAGAGACAGCTTGGAAGGTCTCACCTGATGATCATGTGAGCCCCAGACATTGAAAACATCATGAGTGACAAGTGTCCTAATTTTGTTCATGTAACAGTTAAGATGTTGCAACAGTAAGCGTAAGGACCGGTCATTAATCACCGTTTTTCAGTGCTGTTGCAACTTTGCTCACTAAGAGAATGTTTGCAAGTCCAGACCTGCCTATAATTAATTTCTGAAACTGCAATGCACGCAGCTCAACAGTTTGATGTTGTTGTTTTAATTGTATATACGTGTAACTTTTATACATATAATTGTGTATATGTTTAATTTCTAAGAAATTAAAAGAGGCTTGCTCCTGGGGGGGAAAGCTAAGGCAAAACTAGACAGCCTACTCAAAAGCAGAGACCTCACCCTGCCAACAAAAGTACGTCTAGTCAAGGCTGTGGTTTTCCCAGTTGCAATGTAAGGCTGTGAAAGTTGGACCATAAGGAAGGCTGAGCGCCAAAGAATGGAGGTTCTTTGGACTCTGGTGCTGGAGGAGAAGATTCCTGCAAGTCCCTTGGACTGCAAAACGATCCAACCGGTCAGTCCTAGAGGAGATCCACCCTGACTGCTCTTTAGAAGGCCAGATCCTGAAGGTGAAACTCAAATCCTTTAGCCACCTCATGAGAAGGAAGGACTCTCTGGAGAAGAGCCTAATGCTGGGAACAATTGAGGGCCAAAGAAGGAGGAGGGGATGTCAGAGAAGGAGGGGGCTGGATGGAGTCACTGAAGCAGTCGGCGTGAGTTTAAATGGACTTTGAGGGATGGTAGAAGACAGGAAGGCCTGGACAAACATTCTCCATGGGGTCGCAATGGGTCAGACATGATTCGCAACTAACAACATATGCATAACAATATGCAGAACTTCTTCCAGGCTCCCTCCCGCCTCCAGAAATCGGGGTCCGATGGCTGTCCAGATGCTCCCAAATCCAATTCTGGATGGACAATTTTCAGGAATTCTGGGAGTTGTAGTTTACAATGTCCGGGCATCCACAGCTTTCAAATCCTTGAGTGTGCGCATTTCTCAATGAAATGGCAAGACTGCCCTCTAGCGGCCGAATGAAGGACTTTGTTGGATAACAAAGAATTCCATAAGGTTGGAAAGGACCTCAAAGGTCTTCTAGTCTAACCCCCTGCACCAATCCTGGTTAAAGGGTTGTCTTGTCTATTTTTCAAAACCTCCAGTGATGGAGCGTCCACCATGCCCAGCCGGCAAGCTATTCCATTAATTAATTAATCTTGCAATTAACATTAACAGCAAATTAAATATTAATTAACAAAATCAATAATGGTGAAAGCGATTTTTGGGGAGGTGCACTGCATTTCTTCTTAAATGGATACCCTGGCCTCTTTTGGAAGGGAACACAACAGAAAAAAAAACTTCAGAATGCTCATCCTTGTTGATGGAGAATCTTAAAATCCAATTTAAAGGTTTTATTTCAAGGATAATGAGAAATTTTCTAAGAGCCTTGGTGGCGCGGTGGTCAGCGTGCAGTACTTCTGCTGACTGCCAGCTGCTTGCAATTTGGCAATTCGAATCTCCCCAGGCTCAAGGTTGACTCAGCCTTCCATCCTTCTGAGGTGGGTAAAACGAGGACCCAAATTAATGGGGGCAAGAGGCTGACTCTGTAAAAATGCTTAGAGAGGGCTGAAAAGCACTGTAAAGCAGTATAAAAGTCTAAGTGCTATTGCTATCTTCCTTCCTTCCTTCCTTCCTTCCTTCCTTCCTTCCTTCCTTCTTCCCTTCCCAGTGGTTAGAATGCAGTATTGCAGATTAATGCTGCCCACAGCAGCAGTTCAATCCTGGTTTTTGGCTCAGCCTTCCATCCTTCCGAGGTTGGTAAAATGGCATATAAGTCTAAGTGCTATTGCTATTTTCCTTCCTTCCCTTCTTTTCATTCCCATCTTCCTTCCTTCCTCCTTCCCTCCCTTCTCAGTGGTTAGGATGCAGTATTGCAGGCTAATTCTGCCAATTGCCAGGAGTTTGATCCTGACCGACTCAAGGTTGACTCAGCCTTCCATCCTTCCGAGGTGGGTCAAATGAGAACCCAGATTGTTGGGGGCAAGAGGCTGACTCTGTAAACCGCTTAGAGAGGACTGTACAGCACTGTGAAGCGGTATATAAATCTATTGCTAGTGCTAGTCTGCCCTCACTTACCGCAAAGCACTCATCTGTGGCAAATAGCTTGGCCATGGAGCACAGAGCCACAGCATCATTCCGCTGTTCCTGCAGAGCTTGGGCGGCGTTGCGCACCATCAGACGGGCTGCCACTAACCGGGTTGCCATCTGAGCCAGCTGGAACTGGAGATACTGACAAGGAGAAAAAGGAAGCAGTTAAACCCTCAAGTCGTCCCATTAAATTGTGATTAAATTATAGTTTGTTGAGCTGGCTGGGCTTGCCCATTCTCTTGGGAGCCTCGGTGGCGCAGTGGTCAAAGTGCAGTACTGCAGGTGTCAGGTTTCCGGCAGTTACCCGCCAATTAAATGATGAGTCTTGAATCAAACTTCCAAAACGTCAAAAGGATTTATTGGGAGTTTAACATGCCGGCACTTCCTGGGTGTAGTCGACTCTGAGACACACAAGTCATTGTCACCCTTGACCCTGCTTCCTCCCACCCCCACCCCCTAGATGTATATTCTCCAATGGGACACATCCATAGCCAAGAGTCATCAATCATATTCTCCAGTTAGACTTTTGCACAGTGGAAACTTCAGTCACTTAGTTACTATCTCTGAAAAACTATGTATGGAATGTAGTTTCGATTTCCAAGTTGCCGCACTGCTCTTCCAAACCCCTTTCCACCCTCCTGTTGGCAACCCTAAAACAGCCATAGAAATATTTTATGACTTGACAGCAGGCTACTTCTGCTGACTCCCAGCAGCCTGCAATTTGACAATTCAAATCTCACCAGGCTCAAGGTTGACTCAGCCTTCCATCCTTCCGAGATGGGTAAAGTGAGGATCCAGATTGTTGGGGGCAAGAGGTTGACTCTGTAAAACCGCTTCGAGAGGGCTGTAAAGCCCTGTAAAGCAGTATATAAGTCTAAGTGCTATTCCTTCCTTCCTTCCTTCCTTCCTTCCTTCCTTCCTTCCTTCCTTC